GCTCAAAAAGATTTAAAAATGGTCAATAAATCAAACCATTGCTGGCCTAACCAGTCAGTAGATATTAAAAAGCTAATAACATCCATTGTTGATGGAAGGTGTGGGAAAATGGCCATTATCAGGCAGTTACGGGGTTGCATTCCTGCAGAACTATCTGGAAAGCTGGTCATTTAAAACTGTATATTCTTTGACCTGGAAAGTCTACTGGTTTCAGGGTCAACTGCAGTTCCACTAACCGAAAGGAAAGATGTAAGAAAAAAATTCAGTCTTGGGGAAATGGCAACTTTGGTTTGACAAAATAACTTTCAGATTCCTATAAGACATCTAAGGACAATTGGACATATACAACAAGCATCTGCTCAGGGTGTCTGCTAGTCTTATATACATTATTTCATTCAATCCCTCAAAATTTAAAGGCATCCGTATCCAGTGGCAGGACCAGGATTCAAACACAGCTCTTAACCCAAAGCACTTAACCACTACAAATCAAATTCAGCCTCCATGACTTTGGCACCTGGCAGAAAGAGCACGGTAAAAATATAAATTTGCAAGTTAATCTTTTATTCACTCATTCATTCAGCAGAAATATAAGGTAACTAATGTTGGACCTAAGATACCAAGAAGAAAAGTTAAATTTTCTATACATAGGAAACCATAATGGAGACAAGCATGAAAACAGAAAGCTACAATATGACATGACAGTGCTAACAAAAATAGCTAAGAGGGGCTGGGACCAGTGGCTCAAGCCTGTAATCCCAGCACTTTGGGAGTCCGAGGTGACGGGATTGCCTGAGCCCACGGGTTTGAGAACAGCCTAGGCAACTTGGCAAGACTTCATCTCTACAATAAATCAAAAAATTAGCAGAGCATGGTAGCACACCTGTAGTTCCGGCTACTTGAAAGGCTGAGGCAGAAGGATCGCCTGAGCCCAGCAGGTCGACATTGGGGTGGCCAAGAGCATGACACTGCACTCCAGCCTGGATGACAGAGTGAGACTCCAACTCAAAAACAAGAAATAGCTAAAAGGAATAATACTAACCCCAAAGAAGGAGAAAGCAGTCAATTCTGCACTGGAGGAAGATTCATCGAGGAAAGTTCTAAGAAAGGAAGGTAACACTTGACCATGATTTTGAAGCGTAAGTGACAAGTTTTTGTTTTGTTTTGTTTTTTGTTAAACCCAAGTGGACAGGCAGTAAGGAGTTCTACTCTGGAAAAAGGAATTGGAGTATATGGAAGTCTCACTCAAAATGACATGGTCACTTCAAATTAATGCACATCAATTAGCCTGGCATGGTGGCACACACTTGTAGCCCCAGCTACTCGGGAGGCTAAGGTGGAAAGATTGCTTAAGCCCAGGTGTTCAAGGCTGCAGTGATCTATGATCAAGCCACTGCACTCTAGCCTGAGTGGCAGAGTGAGATCCTGTCTCAAATAAAATGATAAAATGTGATATAATATGTAAAAATATTAAAAATAGAACCAAGAATTGCAGGTGGGTCACCAAACTGCTAAATGAACAGTGCCCTCCAGCCATTCCCCACCCCCACCCTCTGCTCTTCCAAATGCTGCAGAGGACGACAGAGGAGACAAGAAGTCTTCTGCTCTCTTGAATCACATTTCCCAGCGATCCACTCCTTCAACCTTTCCTCCAAACTGAGAGGAAGCAGTGACACAGTGACCACCTGTAATAGTCTGTTTTGTGTTGCCATAAAGGAATACCTGAGGTGGGTAATTTACAAAGAAAAGAGGTGTATTTGGCTCCTGGTTCCGCAGGACACCGGCATACGCTCAGCTTCTAGTGTGGAGGGAGACAAGCATATCACATGGTGAGAACAGAAGCAGGAGAGAGGGAGATAGGTCACCCAGCTCTCGCCTGAACTGACAGAGCGAGCTCACAACACCAAGCCATTGATGAGGGATCCTCCCCCGACCCAGTCACTGCCCACTAGGCCCCACCTCCATCACTGGGGATCACATTTCAACATGAGATTTGCAGGGGACAAACATCCAAACGCTGTCACCACCCTAGGGAAAACAGCACTACCACTGATCACTTTGCCTGGCCTTTGTACCACCCAAAACAACATTGTCTATTCATTCTCCTTGTCTATGGCCTGTCTCTCTGATTAGAATATAAGCTGACACAGGCCTCATTTGCCACCGTACCTTGAGAAGTGCCTGATACAAGGAAGTCACTCCACACAGAGTGGCTGAACAAATGAATGTTGTTTCATCTTATGCAGGTTGAATGTCCCTTTCATAAGACACTCAATATTTTCTGTAATATTTAATGTATGTTCATGCTCTAATGAAATGTTCTAATGCTCTAAATGACATTCCTAGACCCCCTATTATTTTTTTCCCACTGCAGTAAATGCTTGAAACAAAACATGTCTCTAAAATTAACATCTAAAGAGTTTAACTCTGTTCTCCTTGGATATTTCATTAGAGTATCTCTGGACCAAAGAGAACGAGGCAATGATTACAGATAAAGTGCTATACCAGTGGCTCACGCCTGTAATCCCAGCACTTTGGAAGGTTGAGGCGAGAGGAACCCCTGGCCACTTCGAGACCAACCTAGGCCACTTGGCAAGATCTCGTCTCTACAATAAATCAAAAAATTAGCCAGGCGTGGAGGCACACACCTGTGGTTCCAGCTACTTGGAAGGCTGAGGCAGAAGGATCACCTGAGCCTAGTAGGTCAAAGCTGTGGTGGTCATGAGCATGCCACTGCACTCCAACCTGTGCAACAGAATGAGACCTTGTCTCAAAAAAAAAAGTATTGTACCAACTACAAACAGATGTACTGTTCAGTGAAATACACTTGAAGAAAAATAGAAGGAAGCAATTCCATGCTGAAGGAGAAAGGCCAAGTTCTGCTAATAAAACCAAAATACCTCAGGTAGAAAGAACAGTGACTAATGTCACTGGAGAAACAGGTAACACATATCATCCGTACGGCCACCACTTTTTAGAAACAAGTACCACGGATGACAACAAACTCAGAGAGATCGGGCCTTGCCAACACTGTACATCATAGAACACATTTGGCCAGGTCACAGCTCCCCGAATCTGCTTACCCAACTGGCCATCTCACTTGGAGGTTATTTTGAGCAACCTACCACTATTTTCAGAATCACAGGTTTCAGGCTACTTGTGTCATGGATGGGATGGTCTTTCCCTGGCCTCTTTGGCTTGAAAAAGATACAGGAACCTAGCACCAGAAGCTTAGTCATGCCATTACCGTCCTGATTAAAATTTTTGACACAAATAGTAAATCAGGCAACTTCAGAAGTTCAAATATCATGAAAACATTGACTGTTCCTGTGAATCTATTTCATGACTGATGAAGGTTCAAGTAAGACCTAACCACTGCCTTGCCAAATCCATTTCTCAATATAAATGCCATGTGAAAATACACAATGGATTTACTCTAACCCTTTTTACATGGGAGTTACAAAAAGAAGCCTTTAAGCCCGCCTAGGGATAAATTTACTTTTCTCAGCCAAGTGTTAACACCAATAAATGGAGGATTTATGTGTAATCCCTAAAAGCAAACAGGCAGAAATTACCAACCATGCTAGGACTTTTTAACTAAGCATTTGATTTAATCCCACCTATATAATAGGGCTATTTAAAGAGTGCAATTTTTTAAAATATGAGGTACAAATGCAAAATACTGTCTCTGATAGCTTTAAGTAAATTTTCCAGGATTGTATATTCAAATAATGTGCTTTGTTTTATTTCTTTTTTCAGAGTAATCACTTGGAGTGTCTAAAACAACTATCCAATCAACACTGCTATTTCTCAAAAATCAAAGATATCGGTGAACTTTCTCAAAGTCAGTATATAAGTAGGTACAAATGGACAGGACTCTAAGAAAGGTGAATTTATTCACAGGCTATTAACTGTATAATGAAAGTGCTACATGGTAAGACCCTTTTTGTTTCTGTTAACTGCTCACTGGTGGTGGTGAACAGAGTGGTATCTTCTTTCTAGGACTCCATCAGCATCTGGTTGATGAGATCTATTTCTCTGTTAAGTATTCTTCAGGAAAACTAGGTCAAGACTTAATCAGACATAGAATTTATATTATTGTAAGCCATAACAGTCAGTCTGCGATTCATACTACCTTGTTATCCATATCATGAATTTTAAAATGATGTTCCCTTTAGAAAAAGAGATGCCTTTGCCCAACCACCGTACTCTAAAAACAAAACCAACATTTCTTCATACACAAACAAAATCAAGGTGGGAACATACAAGGCCTCCACTGAGCCAAGAAAAATGACAGGGTCAAAAGATCAATAAGGAAACGCATCTCCTATAACTAACAGTTAATGTTTATACCTCTCATCTAACTGTCACTTGACTAAATTTCACAGGACCACTGCAGAGAAATGAAAAAAGCAGAAAACAAGAACCTTCTACAAACGGTCAAAGTTTCAAATATTCCAAACTTGTTTTCACCAATCAGTAATAATCTAGTCTGTCAAATCTTCAGTCAAATGGCTGATGTCACATGGCTGCCACTGACATCCACAATCTCCCTGATAAACGAGGAGAAGGACCCTGTTTACAATCTGTTTACAAAGGCACACTTTAGGCTCAGCACAATCCTGCTACCTCTTTTCATTTCTTATTACACAACTCTGAGAGTTAAGAAAAACAAGAATAAAACCATCAGCCAAACATAAATCACCACTACTAACATGAAGCAGTAAAAATGGTTAATTGCTAGTTTCTTTAAGACGTTCTCCTTTGCTGCCCCCTCTTCCTTCCACTTCCTTCCCTCCTAAACATTTCAGTATCAACGTCATTCTAACCGTTTCCAAGAAAACACCCTTCTGAAGAATCTGAGAATAGTGGAATTCTGGAATTCCAGAATTCTGGTTAGAAGCTCAATGCTCCGGCTGTCACACCTGCCACCAGCCTGGTGGGCGGGGACGAGCACAGAACCTGTCTCCAACACTCGATGCTTCCTGGAAAGCATCACTTACAGTGCCGGGCATATGGCTTCTCTCGTTCTTCCCATTCTGAGAGCTGCCATTTTTCAGTTTCTTTTTCTTCTTTGCTGTTTCTTTGTGCTCCTTCTGTTTGTTTTGCACTTCAATAAGCACAGAAATAAAGCTGTTTTTCACTTCCTTTTCAAACTCCAGTTCATCTCGAAGGGCCAACTGCTGCACCAGTTCCTCAGAATACTCCTTAATGGCCACCTCGATTTCTTCCAGGAGTTCATTTAGTTCAGATGCCGAGAGCCTTTTTACTCCTATGACCAAAAACAAAATACAGAAGTTACTGAGACAAAAATGCTTCAAGGAAGCAAAACAGGGCGTTTTATGTCAAAGAGCAAAAATCATATTACAAGCAATTAAATCGACCATTTGTGATCTTCCCCAAATTCCACAGCTTTTGGAAGATAGGTCTGAGGAGAGATAGGTGAGCAGCTGAGTCACGTCACAGCCAGCTCAGAAGAAAAGCGTCACTAAAGTTTTTACTTGTATAAATAAATCTTCCTATGAATAGGACTTTAGTCAAGACGGAACAAGCTTGTACAAGAAAAAGAACAAATACAAAAGCAGAGGGAAAGTCCAGAAACTCCCTGCTGACAAGAGGTTGCCAGGCATTTTAGCAGGGCTCTAGCTGCCTCTAAAGAGAGAAGTTGATTTGAAAGAATTAAACTACATGCATATTTAATTACATATGCCCCAAATTGCATTTTTAAATCCTGTCGAAGACTGGGAAGATAAAAGAGAACAATAGTCCCTGACACTCCATTTCAGTCTCTTGTCAGAACTTTCCTTCCCGTGAAAGAGAAGACAGTGTTGAAGTCCTTATCCCCAGAACCTCAGCATATGGAGACAGAGTCTTTAAAGAGGTCACTAAGGCTAAATGAGGACTTCAGGACAGGCCCTGATCCAATATTCTTACAAAATGAGGCGATTAGGACACAGGCATTCACAGAAGGAAGACCACGTGAAGGCACAGGGAACAGATGGCCATCTGCTAGCCAAGCAGAAAGGGCTCAGAAGTAACCAAACCTGCCAGCACCTTGATCTCGAACTTCTGGCCTCCAGAAGTGCAAGAATACAAATTTCTGTTACTTAAGCCACTGAGTCTATGGTACTTTGTACCAGCAGCTCTAGCAAACCAATAAATACAGTTTGTGGTATCTGTATTGGATGTCAGGACTGTATTTTTGGAATCAGGACTCCAACCATGTTAAGAGCATGGTCGGACTAGACTTTCCAAAGGGATGCCATCTGTCTGACCTTACTCACATTGAGAAGCCATACAACCCAAAGGATTTAGGTAACTAACCTTCAGACCTCTGGTCATGCCACGAAGACAAAACTAGGTAACAGCATGAGTTGTGAAGATACGGACCCCATCACTGTCTATTCAAGGAGGGGCCCGCTCATGGGGCCATGTTTAGATGCATGCTCAGCAACCAGCCTCCGGATATTCACAGGCTGGCTACAGTTACTCAGAGACTTTTCATGAAATCAGCTGCACAGTGTCTACAGTTCATCATTCTTAGGTACGTCAAACAGATGCATGGTTCCCAAAATTCTTCAAAGTAACACTGAAGACAACTAGTTGTACAGATAGGAATTATGTTCAACAAATAATGACTGAGAATCCATTCTACACTATGAATTGTGATGCACAGTGGGGTTTGTTATGGACTAAATTGTGTTCCACCCCCAAAGTTGTAAGTTGAAGTCCTAACCCCCAGTATCTCAGAATGTTAACAGTATTTTGAGACAGGGTCTTTATAGAGGTAATTACATTAAGATATGGTCATTAGGTTGGACCTGAATCCAATAACACTGCTGTCCTTATCAGAAGAGGAAATTTGGACACAGACACAAACAGGGAGAATGGTATGAAGTCACAGGGAGAAGATGGCCATCTACAATATAAGAAGCCCCAGAAGTAACCACCACTGCCAACACCTTGAGTTCAGATTTCTAGAACCATAAGAAATAAATTTCCGCCGTTTAAGCCAACCAGTCTGTGGTACATTTTTAGGGCTGATCTAGCAAAGTATTACAGGCTTCAAAGGTGCACACGACACAGTTCCTGAGTGATAATAAACATATATGCAGAATATTACTGGAGGGCTAGGAAGGAATGCAATCCGGCAATCGAAGATTCTAGAGATGATCACACTATATGCTCAATACAAACAGTATTCATTTAAGTAGGGTCTCTTACTCTCTTCGTAACTGCTGGTACTAGACCTCTTGAGCGTTTGAATTTCTTGGGAAAGCATCGAAAGCCGATCTGACTGTGTGGGAGTTTCGTCTTCTTCTGGGTCTGGTGATTCCTGCATCATTTCTTCAATTTCTTCGATAACCTTCCAAAATACACATACCACTGTTACTCAAATGTATAGGGAACATGGGGAACATGGTACTCTCCTGAGGCAACCAGAGAGAAATGCACTAGATTTTCCATTAACCAACAGTACACAGGTACAGGTGTTCTATTGTAAGAGTGAACGTGGTTTTGAAAAAAAAAATTCCCAATATACTAAACACAAAATGAAACAGCATGTGATTGAACATATCCATCATGATTCAGGCCCAACCAGATCTTGGCAAAAGTGCTACAAACACAAACATCATTTACTCTGAACATGCCAGATCCAGTTATAGTTAAAAGAAAGCAAATAAAAGGAAATTTACCATCTATATGCAATGCTCAATCAAAAGCTAGTTAATAAAAAAAATCTGACATAAAATTTTGAAAATACAATAGTATCTAACACGAGATGTTACCCCTACGGCAGCAAAATTTTCCTTTAATAGCAGAAAAAGAATGTCATATACTAACTCAATGAAGACAAAGGGGTATTTAAAAGTTACTTAAAATGTGAAAGTTTAAAGAGAAAACAAGCTGCAGAGAGACTTCAGAAATATATCTGCCTTTTAAACAATGATCTACTGTTTAGTGCCATGTTGCTCAAGTCTTACAAGAGAATCTTGTACTTTTCAGATTTCCCAAAGTTGAAAAGCATGTAGAGATCAGTGAAAATGTAAAGGAAAGCCAGAAAAATTACTCAACAATCAGAAAAAAAAATCTAAATTTTTTAAAAAAACAACTATTCAGTACAAATAGATGGAGTAAAACATCACGAGCGAATGTAACATACTTTATGAATTAACAAGCATAACAGTAACACTTCCACTGAGGTAAAACAAAAGCAAATCTGAAGGAGGGGGATTGTGCTCATTCTAAGAAGATTCTGCAAAACAGGCGTTGTAAAATAGCACAACTGAGTCACTCATGGAGACCGGCCCCAGAATCCGTTATTCCATGTCTTAAAAACACACACTGCATGCAGTATTCAGGCAGATTCAGGGGACAATAAATTCTCAGGGTCACGTCTCTGCCTGGAATATCATCTCCACCTCAAAACAGCCCTCCAGCCTATGATGACCTTGCTTTTTAAGCACCACGTTCTTTCCAGGCCCAGAACAATCTGACCACAAATATGACTAAGGAGCATCCAGATGACACAATTGTAAAACACATCCCTAATGCACTCCTCCCAACGCTGCCTCGATGTATCTCCTTACCGACCTTCTTTCTCCAGCCTAAAAATAGAGTGTGGTAGAATTCACCGTCCGAGAAACCATGGAACATTTTATTTCAGGAAGAAGTTCTGACATCACATTTTGATAATACAAACAGAAGTGGGAAGAGTATTCCGAAAATGAGAATGCTGATTTGACTGGTTCTAAATGAATACAGGGTCGACAATATTACAGCGTTCCACAGGAATAATGCTTCCTTCTTTCTGGGCACACAATATATGCCAGTGATTCTTACCCAGGGTTTTAAGAACTAGGTGATTTCTGGACAAATTTATCTTATAGGTTGCCCATGTTTGGGCAAGCCTAAAGAAACCAGGCAACTCATGATATTTTTCTGATTTGGGGTTAAGTAATCACCCTCGCTTAGTCATTTACTGTAACAATGCTTACATTGGAAATCTTCCCAGCTAACATAATCCTTTCCACTTCATAATATATATACTTCCCCTTTTTTTTCCCCAGTGGAAGATGTAACCATTAAGCCTGTATAACCAGAAAATATAGGAAAAACAAGTAGAATCTAACAACCATCATTTATTGCCACAATAAGAAATGATTTTCCAGGTCAAGGCAGGAGGATTGTTTGAGCCCAGAGTTCAAAACCAGCCTGGGCAGCATAGCAAGACCCCCGCTCTCTCCAAAAACTCAAAAAATTAGCTGGGCTCAATGGCTGTAGTCTCAGCTACTCGGGAAACTGAAGCAGAAGGATCTATCTCCTGAGCCCAGGAGGTCTAGGTTGTATGGTAAGCCATGATCCTGCCACTGCACCACTGCACTCAGAGCAAGACCTCTCCAACTCAAAAAAAAAAAAAAAAGAAGAAGAAGAAATATCTCCTTTCACCTGATCTGCAGTGAAGAGGGGCTCTTCATTGACACAGGAGACGATGATCGAATGCATGTCCAGCTGTTCCCGCAGCTCCTCGTCATCAGACGTATCAAAGAGCAAACTGTCACTCATCTAAAAACAAAAATACCCACTGTTAAAGGTAGGACATTCTTACCAGAATGAAGCTATCCATCACTCTGTGCCAAGCAGTGTTCATCTCCACCAGAAATGAGAGAATGTAGGATAAATATGAGATGGCTAAGATGCTGCACACGTCCCTACTGCCTGATATAGACACAGACTCAGCTATTTTTTCCATAGGGAAGGGTGATATAAAAGCTGACAACTATGCAGGAAAAAATACGGTATTCGTTAACAAGTTGCAGGAAATGATAGCAAAAAGAGAGAACATTGGGGACATTTAGCAACAAATGTTATTCTGATAGTCAGATTGGTACACGTTAAAATCCTACAGAAAACAAAAACACTAGCTACTTGCAAACTGACTTCTAGTATTCAGAGTAAAAGATAAACCATCAGCTCCCTGGAAGACAGGATCTGTCCCTGAGGGTCATGCTTAGCCCTTCCCCTTGATCATCTCAGGTTTCATAAACATCTTTCACCCTTGCTGAGCTGGAGATTCTGGATCACCAAACCAATCGCCTTCCACCCTGCTCTGTGCCCCCATGGAGGACATCAAAGGATGCCCTTGATGCATGGCATCCAGTTGGGTCCAAGACTACAGGCAGACACTAGAAGATTGAAGGGCAGAATGGTTAAGGCTGGGCGTTTATTCTGCTGGTTGTGACTCTTTAACAAAAGCCACAGCACTGGTCCCAGACCTCTCCCCCGCAGGAAATCTCTCCAATTGCCAGTAACCTCTTCCTCTCCTAACTCCACCATACTCAGGGATGGTAGAGAACTGGCCACTGTTTCTAATCCCAGCCCAGGGCACGGTGCCACACCTCAGGGGTTTTCCCAGTGGAAGACACCAATCAAACAGCCCCTTTAACAATGATGTGTAGTACTCATACTGACTGTAAAAGCCTTACCTGAATATTTCAGCATTCAAGTGAACAAGTGAACGTCAATCTATCACCATCTACCTATCTGTCATGACTATTCAGGTGATTAACGGAACTGAAATTAGAACCCTCTCGCTAAAAAAGGATGAGCCCACATTGAGTTCCCAAAGAAAAAAAGGCAACAGGCACTATGTAAGAAGCCACCATTCTTTCTATGACACAGTATATGGTTGAAATAGTAAAATTTACCTGGAAAAATTGTTTCATTTACCAGTGTAGAGAACATATATAAAACTGAAGATATTATGAATTTCGCAGCAACTTGAGTGAATTTAGAGTCTGTCATACTCAGTGATCTATCACAGAACCAAAGAACTGAGTACCACATGTTCTCACTCATAAACTGACCCTGAACAATTATCATAATACTATAAAGAAAGGGTTGGCAGTAGTAGGAAACTACCAGGGGAAGGAGCGGGAGGGTAAACTTCATCAATATGGGTACCTGATCTCAAACCAAGTGATGTGGGGACCAAAGGGAGGCCCAAGCTTTACCTGTACAATAACCATTTGTATACCTAACCCTGAATTGTACCCCATGTTTAATATTTTAAAAATAAACTGAAGATACAATGGACTATGTGTGGTTTCCTACTGCTTCCCTAGTGACTATACAGGCACAACCAAAGTTTAAGGGTGAACACAGACCACAGGATATGAAACTTGCAGGTAAAAAGGGCCAGGGAAGGAACCACTTTCCAGGATATTCTAAGATGAGGGTGAGAGAGGACCACCTTGGCACTGCAATGTTCATCTACCACCCTACCATGCAACCCTGCTGAGCACATTGATGATATCCCTTCTCATTCTATTCCACACTGTATCAACAGTCTAGCAAAGACCTAGCCATGGCCCCCCACATGGCATCGTGAAATATCAGAAGAGTGTTTCGTTGTTGTTGCTTTGTTTTGTTTTATTTTATTTTTTATTTTTTTTTTTGAGTTGGAGTCTCACTCTGTCGCCCAGACTGGAGTGCAGTGGCCGCTCCCGGCCACCGCAGCCTCAACCTGCTGGGCTCCGGCGATCCTTCTGCCTCATCCTTCCAAGTAGCTGGTACGACAGATGCGAGCTACCACACCCGGCTGATTTTTTTTATTTATTGTAGAGATGAGGTCTCGCCAAGTTGCCCAGGTGGGTCTCGAACCCGCAGGTTCAGGCAATCCACTCACCTCAGCCTCCCAAAGCGCGAGATTACAGGCCGAGCCACCGAGCCCGTCTTGTTTTGTTTTAAATCAGAGTCTCACTCCATTGTCCAGGCTGGAGTGCAGTGGCACACTCACGGCCACCCCAGAGTCGACCTCCTGGGCTCAAGCGATCCTTCCACCTCAGCTTTCCAAGTAGCCAAAACTACAGGTGCATGCTACCACATCCAGCTAATTTTTTATTTTATTGTAGAGAAGGTCTCACCAAGTTGCCCAGGTTGGTCTTGAACCCCTGGTCTCAGGTAATCCTCTCGTCTCGGCCTCTCAAAGTGCTGGGATTACAGGCTTGAGCCACTGTGCCTGGCCTCACTGAGCATTTTTTAAAAAAAGAGAAAAGAATCTAAAAACTTCCAGAGATATTTTTTAAAAACCCACTAGAAGGATCAGGAATCAAAATGTCATGTGAATTCTCAAAAGCAATAAAGGATGCTAGAAAACAATCAATGTAACTTCTCTATTTTGAGAAATTCTACCCTAGAATCTTTTTTTTTTTTAATTGGAGTCTGATTGTCTCCCAGGCTGGAGTGCAGTGGCATGTTCACGACCACCGCTGCCTCAAACTGCTGGGTTCAGGAGATCCTCTCGCCTCAGCCATCCAAGTGGCTGAAACCACAGGCATGTGCCACCACACCCAGTTAATTTTTTGATTTATTGTAGAGATGAGGTTTTGCCAAGTTGCCCAGGCTGGTATCAAACCCTTGGGTTCAGGCAATCCTCTCGCCTCTGCATCTCAAAGTGCTGGGATTACAGGTGTGAGTGACTGTGCCCAACTTACCCTAGAATCTTATATCCAGCTAAATTAACAATTAGGCAGTCACTTGGAATAAAGACATTGTAGACACGTAAATTCTCAAAAAATGTATCTTTCATGTACCCTTTCTCAGAAAGCTACCAGGAGGAAAATGAAAAAAGAAGAAGACATGGAGTCTAACACAAGAGGGAGGTGAAGAGAATTCTTATAAGGATAGTGAGGTGAAAGTCCCAGGATGATGGCTATAAAGCTAAACTAGGGAGTAACCAGTTCAGATTACAACTGAAACTGCAGAAAGCATCAAGAAAAATGAAAGATGGAGATGGAGAAGGAGAGAAAGAGGGAAGAGGATGGAAGGGAGAGAGAAAGGGAAGGGGTCGAGGGAGGAGACTGATGGATTACCTAGTGTATTCCATTTACTAAAATGAGCTCTATGACTCTATTGAGGCTGAATTGGTGAGCTAATTATAAACTAAACAAACCACAAAAAAACCAATTAATATTGCCCTAAAAAAAAACCTAAGTAGAAAAAAGAGAAAATTTAATCATAAAGTACCAAAATTGATCAACTGTATACATTTAAATAGTAAACACACCAGCCTGGGCAACTTGGCGAGACCTAATCTCTACAATAAATCAAAAAGTTAGCCAGGCATGGTAGTACATGCCTGTAGTCCCAGCTGCCTGGAAGGCTGAGGCAGAAGGATCGCCTGAGCCTAGCAGGTCGAGGCTGCGGTGGCTGTGAACATGCCACTGCGCTTCAGCCTAGGTGACAGAGTAAGACTCCAACTCAAAAATAAATAAATAAATAAATAAATGTGTGTATGCGTGTGTGTGTGTGTGTGTGTGTGTATACACATACATATATATATTAAACATAAATTATGAAGATTAATTCAGCTATGGATTTTGATACAATTCTATTGGGAAGATAACAAAGAGAAGTTTTTGTGAGGTTATGGTGTCAGAGGTGGGAGAAAGACTATAAGAGAACTCAACCTTCATTTCCGGGTAGAAGGTTGAGAGACCCAAGAGATTAAAAAAAAAACTCTAAGAGAACTATTACTATATGAATTCCTACCCCACGTTCACTGTATTTGTTTACAGTGTTTGTACTTAGAATTTTGTTAAGTTTAATTTTTGTTTGTCTCATAAAATAACCGATTGCTTCCGCAACTGCTGCTAGCAATATGTGAATGTCAAGTAATAAACCTCTCCCGGACATTCCTTTGCTTAGCCTGCCTGCTGACATTCCACTCTGCTCATTTAGCAGCTCCCCAGTCAATCACAGGTAGCTGAGCGGACCAGACCAATCCCAAGTGCCCCCGTACCCATTAGGAGAAATTACCCTATCATGTAAAAACAAGTTTAAAGTTCTTTCCCCTCCCTCTGTAATGATGTATAAAAACTGCTTGCCATGCTGGATCTGGGCTCTCGTCCCTGAAGCTGCTGCTTCGGGCGTGAGCCCAGACTCGACCCTTGTGTGTTTGCATCGGAGCTGGCTCTTTGTGGTCTCTATCTCTCTCATTAGAGTCCCGGGTTCAACAGGTAAATAGATAAAGGCTAAAATTGAAAAAAATAAAATCAAGCAAAGTGGTATGAGCATGTTACCTGCTAGAAGAAACAGCTGACATAGTTGTCAGTGGTCACCTCTGATCAGGAGAAATCATTTTGGAATGGCCTGAGTAACGCTCAGCTGCTCTCCCTTGATACCAATAAATCAAAGGGGCAGGGAACTGGTAGAAAGATGTTTATTTCTGAATTTGAATCCAGGAGCAGGGTGGCTTTGGGTCTCTTTAAAATGGCTATGCTCACCCTTCAGGCTTTTACAGTTCACTTTTATAAGTCCAAAGTTGTTAGTACCTATGCAATAGTCATGTGACCAGCAGAGCATCGTGTAGAACTTGAGTTTCAGGTGCATTTTCAGATAATGAATTTTTGGTCCAGACTTCCTGGTTTCAGGTACCAGGGGTATCTCATTGCTTTTATCAGTAGGGTCAGGCAGAAGCATTCATCAAGCTTGCCATAGAGTAAAGGGAGTTTAAAGGCCTAAGACATCATGCATTACACAAAAGTTATACAAATCACAAAACT